GTACAGGAGTTTCACACACCATAGCAAACAGTATGGTTGAAATCTTGGACTTCTACTAATACTATTATGTGAGCAGTTACATAACGTCTCTGTGCTCACTTTCCTCATATGTGAAACGGTGGTACCCATTTCAGCAAGTATCTCTGAAGATGTTATGAGAATTAAGTAAAACAATATAAAATGCACTTGGAATAGTGCCTGTACTCTGGCACACAGCACGCACTAAACACATTGCCATCGAGTCGGATCCGACTCATGACCCCTCCTTGGGCTTCCGAGGCAATATCACCACAGAAGTAGACTGCCCAGTCTTCCTTCTAAGGAGTGGCTGGTGGGTTTGAACCGCCAGCCTTAGCAGTCAGCCTTCACAAACTGTTAGCCAACATTACTGCCACTGTTAGTAGTTGCTATAGCATCACATACTGCTTTACAAAAAACTTCTAAATTAATAACCCCAATCATTGTTACATGAAACCAAGTCAAGTGCCCCTCACTATTAAAGCTTATCTTAGAAACCTATCAGAGTCCTCTAGCCCAATAAATCATTTTAAACTGTGAATTTAAGTTTAATTAACTTTCAGAAAACCAAATAGCATTATTTTTTTTCTTAAGTTATAGAACTATAAGTATAAAATAATTTTACAAACAAAATCATGAACTAAGATTAACTTTTAAATTATACATAGACAGATAGATAGATAGATAGATAGATAGATAGATAGATAGATACCTTTATGTCATCTTCTGTGATATAACCAGCCTGTACCACCCACCAGGCCTCTATGGTAATTTCCACTGGCTTTACTGGCAGAAGATCCCGGGCAGTTTTCCTTCTGAAAAATTTCTGCAATGGCATAAACCATGGGAGAGAAAACCTGTCACTTGCAGTCAACTTAAAATGATCACGTTCCTCTTTTATCCATCACATAATAAGCCTCTTCCTAGCAGTCTGAATACGTATCTTCTTAAAACTCTCATGTTTAAACTTCTTATATATTCTAGATATACTGAACAGAGAAAGTCAGTAATTCTTAAATTATTTCAAAACATTAATTGCTAAACCCTAAACCCACACACTCAAATAAAACCCAGGAAGTAAATAAACGCAGCTGGAAAGTATGCACTTTCTGTATTTACTTTACCAATTAAGTGAAACCTGGGAGTGGAATGAGCAAGTAAAAGATAAAAGATTAGCGAAATAAAATTAATTTTCAAAAACAAATTGAACATACCAAAATCTTTGGGACACACCAAAAGCAGTAATCAGAGGCCAATTTATAGCAATAAATGCACACATCAAAAAAGAAGAGCGAGCCAAAATCAACACTTTAAACCAACATCTCCAACAATTAGAAAAAGAACAGTAAGAAAAGCCTACAGTCACCAGAAGAAAGGAAATAATCAAGATTCA